GCCTCCGCTTTAGATGTCCCCCCTTTATGACGATACTTCTACCAGAAATCACATATCTCATGCTCTGGACTAATACCAAATCCCGGTTCTAGTATAACCTAAATAAATATATAAGTCCTATTTATGAGTATGTGTATATACATATATATACATAAATTAATCTTAGAATTTTTGGCTGATTTATTATTTTGCATAATGACTATAGCTATAGTTATTTTTTTTAATTCTTCTAATAGACTCTTAACAACAAATTTTTAATTTTATCTGTCATTTAGATCACAGATGTTCTCAACCATTAACTGGCTTTATCAATTTCAGCCTCATTTACAAAGAATTTCTTATTCAATAAAGTAACAATTTTAAAGATTTCATAGAATGTCTAACTAAAATTCTAAGATCTTCATTAATAAAATCACAAATATTTAAACCAATCTCTTCAGTAGAACCGTCTTTTCTCATTTGTCAAAAGATAATACACAACAATTTTTTTAAAAATTGTTTTAAAACTATCAGGTCCAATTTCCATCTAGTTGAAATATTCTAATTTCTGGTAAAATATCAAAATATTTTCTATTACCATAAATCTATAAAGTTTTTGATTTTTTGTTAATATCTACTGGTAACATTGATCAGTGGGTAAGGTTGTTAATGAAGTACTCCAAACTATAATAAAACATATAAACCACTTCAGTTTTAAAACTGGAGTGTTTATATGTTTTATTATAGCTTGGAGTACCCCATTAACAACCCTACCAGTGGATATTAATAATATATTAATATTGCTATTATTCATATATAATAGTTAGCGCAGTATTTTTTTTGATAAAAAATATATAAATATAGTAACAAATTACCACTTATTTTTTACTTTATTTAAAGAAAGATATAGATTGTATTTTAAAAGGATAAAATCAATTTGTAAACCTCCGTCGGATAAAAACCTAAAGTACTAATTTTATCTTACAGTACAAAGTCACGGAATATGAGCTCATATTAACAGACTGTGTAACTTTTAATTCTCAAAATTAAATTGTATACGTACTTGATCAAAGGTTCATTCTTTTCGAATCAACTCACATACTCTAAAGTTAAACGTGAAGACATAGTTGAATCACCAGACCTTATTTTCAATATTATTTTGCTTATCCATTCTTGTCCTTGCATTTCAATTAACCTTGATACTGCTCTCTCAAACGCAAAAACTTCCTCTTCGCCTGTGAATATGGGACTAGATTTATGGTCCTTTGCATGAAGGTTTAAATCATCCAAAAGCTCATGATGTGTGGGATTTAAATCTTCTTCGGTTGTAAACAATTCTTTTACTGGGACTTCAGCCGAACATACTAATATAGTCTTTGAAAATAAACTTTGAGAAGATTGTCAAATTATGAAAATCGATGCAAAACAGATTTACCTTTGTATCATACAATGCATCAATAAGTGTAATAAATCTTCTAGCTTCGTTTTTCAATTTCAAAGACATTCTTGGTATATCCGTAAGTATAATAGTTGTATAGTGTTTAGTAAGTTCAAGATAGTCAGCGGCACTTAAAGGTTGACAACATAATTGTTCAAAGGTGAATTTTGCAACATCACCACAAGCCTGAGGT